CGTGCCGTATAGCGTGAATAACCCTGTATAGCGAACAACGACTTAGCGTGTGTTGGAAGCATCTAAAGTCTAAAGCCTAAAGTGTCAAACAAGAGAGAATGGGAGCTTTCGCTTTCAAAAAAACTGAAACAGTTCTCAAAGATGATTCAAAGATTCTCATAGCTTGAGAATTTGATCTGTGTAAGACTGTGTAACGAAACTTCCAAATACAAGGCTTATGACAGCAAACGCTCAACATGTTCAATGAAATTTACAGGAAACAAAGGTTTTGCTAAAATTGGTGTTTTCAGTTTAACGTTCGATCTGATCACAAGTACGGGTCTAAAAAAGTTTGAGTAATAAGGTATAATTCACATTAATGTCTGAAGTATATGTTTTGTTTGCTTGAAACGGAACAAAAATAAATTTAATGTTTCGTACATTAGTTTAAAATAAACATAATTATTTTTTTTACTAAAAATTATTGCTTTTACCATTCCAAAAAAAATCTGAAGGTAAAACAGACTAATTTCACTGTGAATTAAAAATTGTTTGTTTAATCATTTTGTTAATTGCATCACATAAGTTGGAAACAAAGTGTTTCTAGAATATGATATATTAAAGAATGATATGAAGTAGCAAGTGTACTTAAGCGTCCATAAAATGTCCAGTACTTTTAGCAATCAGACCTGTCTGCATTCGATGTTATCAATATTCAGTTGGAACCCCTTAAGATGAACCACAATATGTTTTTCTAAAAATGTATTCTGTTAAAAATAATCCGTAAGTGCCAAACTGGGACTGAATAAATCAATCAATTGCATAATCTGCGATGAGAAATTTGCTACACTGACAATCTATTCCACCCGTTTGCGTAATTTATAAAATGTTCGGTATTGAAGGAATATGGCTCAAGTATTTTGCAGAGACAAAGTATATCGATCAGAAGTCATGTTTTATTTACTCTGTGCGAATACGTATTTGCCAATCCCGCTCACAATGTAAATTCGGAGAGAATATATTTCCTAACTCAGTGAGCACGCGATGAAAGAACCACTTAGCCAAGAGCAATTGAAACAAAATTGATTTATCATTATAATTTTTAAATGATTTGCACACAATACAGAAACGATATAAAACTAGATACAGAAATGGAATGGGATGTGCTTGTTCGTTTTTATAACATTTTTCGTCAAAATTATTTAAGCAGTATGTGATATTATCGAATGGCATTTGTAATTTCATATATTATATGTTTTAATTAAGCCTTTACGGAGAAAATGACCTTTTCGAATAGTTTGTGCTGCCACGTTACCATACTAAAATTCTGCATTTAACTAAACCTGAAATGTCATGTCTGGCTTCTGTGAAAATATTGTGGGATTAATTGACTTGATTAGTGATTTCGAAAGAATACTTTATGTTCTGCAAGTTGTCAAATCTGCTCTTACTGCTGAAATTGAAAGGGACGAACGCGCGCTCTTCTTAACAAAATCTTTAAACACTTGTAAGTTTTATTGCTGGTTTATCGTCTACCAGACGGTGTGTTTTGCTACTATTATTTACAGCTAGTACATGCATCAGGTATTGGATTACCATCGGTCTCATCTACTACTATGTCGTTCAAGAATCGTCCGTATTGCGAGGCAATTTTTTCCGGAAATATATACGTTTTCAGTTCTCTCCCTTCATTATTCAAGTCTAAGAATATCAGTTTTGCTGGACACCTGGTGTAATTATTAATTCTGACTCCATCGATAACCCACATTATTCCTCTGGTGTCCACCTCCATACTTTGCACGCTCTGGAGGTTTGAACAACTACCAATATCATCATTGGAGTCCCAGTTGGGAAATGGTGATAGTAACGGGTTTTCATGAGAAGTTTCATCGTGAGTATCTGAAAATGAATTTTCTACTTGATACGTTTAATTAAGTGAACACATTATTAAATAGCTGATTGAAAAAAATGATGGAGGTTTCTAAAAATAATCTACTTTTGTTCAGCATTTGAAAACATTTCGCTGAATGGTTATATATAACATAATGGTTTACTATTTTTTTGTTCCGTCTTTTGAATTTTCCATTCTATCCTCCCACATTTTTTTACAAACCTTCAAAAGCACTTAAACTATTCAATTTCGCTAATGTTTAGTTTTGAGCGTGTTTAGGTGGAATATTTAACTAATAACCATGGAATATTTTTATCAATGGTTCTTTACAAAACGATTATATTATGATTTTTTGATTATTCATTTTCATTTGTAACACCTTGGTCAGCCATAATGGTTTTTGCTGAGTTACAAAGAGTTACAGTTAATTTTAAATAGTATCTTTGATTTGAAACTCTTACTAGCAAATGGTTCATCAAAAGTTCATGTAAAAATGAATTTCCAGAAACAAACGGTACAGGTGGCCGTCCAAAATGTCTGGAAATAAGTATGTTTCTTTATTATTGTTTACTTTTCTAACAATATACAATTTTATATATAAATTTGTAACAATATGCAATTTTACATATACAATAAACCATTTTTCGCATCAAGCAATTATCTTGATGCGATTTTGATCTCTCGACCAAAAATGCATATTATACAAACGAAATCGGTCAGTACGAGTAGTAGTGCGACGTGGATATAGTAAATACGAACCGAAAATAATTATACACGCACATTTGTATCATTCGTTAATATTTCACAGGGAATCAATATTTGCTCAAAATATGTGTCCGCAATAGCGTAGTGTAATGAGATCTGGTAAAGGTGCGATTTATAATGGTGTTAAATAGTTTGCACAGTTGTTCTACATATTCATAAATCTGCTACAATTTTTCAAACAAGTAAATGCAGCTTTGCTACAACGTACGCCAGAACATTAATAATAGTTGTCTCCTTTTTGCTGAAAACTGGATATACACGTCAGATTTCGTTGAGGTTTTGGCAAACTCCTCAACAATGCTTTGTAAAAATAGCTCTAATTAGAATATTTGTCTCAGCGTTCCTTTGGAGAAATGCGCTTCGGTTTTAAAAATTTTAAAAATAAATCTTTAGAAGGTAGAAAGTGTGATTTGAAACAAAGTCGGCTAATTTTAATTGTATATTCGACGTATAAAAATCAGTCAAAAAATTATAGACACCTACGTTTACCAATTACATGGTGTTAAAAGTTTAACCTTTTAAAATATTTTTATCCGCAGCTTTTAGCACTTTAATAATGAGTAATAATTTGAATTCGTAGCAAACTTGTGATCGGTAGTTGTACCAAATGGTTCCGAAAATAACACAGGTAGTAAATTTTTACACTGAATGTATGTGCAATTTTTTTATAAGAGTCAATGCGAAGTGTGACTGGAACTTTATGCCCAAGAGTTTTAATTCTGTATTCAATTTTAAAATGTTTTCGTGTTTAGTTTAGTTTCTGAGTGAGTTGATCTTAATGTGAATTATTATTATTAATGCGAATGCACGTATCAAAGGAAACTTATTTGAAGATATTTAGAAGTTGCAACGAAACTAAACAGTTCGCAGAAGCAAAAGCGCAAACGTTCCCAAATTAATGTAATTTTTTCCAAATAATTTCTAAACGCCTTTATTGATTTTCACTAATTTTGGAATCAGCAATTACTACATATATTGACGTCTATTCACGTAAGCGCGATCTTTTCTTAATGCGTGGAAACGTTAAAATAATGATTGGTTCATTAAGAAATGTTTGTATTTCTGTTACCCTCTTTACGAATAATTTAAGTTTTTTTCAGCTCATAGCTGATTTTCTTTTTTGCCACTCGTAAAATTTTGCTCAGACCTACAGTTTCTGTACAAATAAATATTTACGATAACTTGCAAATTAAAGTTTTAAATTATCCGGGACGAAAAAAACATGGAAAAGTATTAATTGTAATAACTGAACTAATTTGATTATTTTAATAAAAGTTCAAAATATTTACTATTTTCTTGAACACATAAATTCATTCTGTTCAAAACATTAAACTGTACTTTGGGCATAGTGTCGGCCTTGTTTTTAAAATGATCCGCAGGATTAAAATTTATTTCCACTAACTCGGCTTCTGTAGCGACTGGCAAAGCAAACAGTTTTGATTTAAGAGAACCCTACAGGAAAAATCCAGCAGCGTTAAATCGGGTGGTCTTGGTGGCCACCATATCATTCCATGATTTCTTCTTTCGATTCATCTATTAGTTTATGTTTCATTTAAAAATCGCACAATTAAAAATATTTGCCAATGATTAATGGTTTGAAATTCTGCGGTTCGGTTATGTGTTGCTAATATGTGTTAAACGCGTCCGTCCATGTCCTTCACATAATGAATAATGTTCAATTTTAAAGACACAAAAAACTGGCTTTGGTTTTTTTCCTAGTGGTGTTTGAGCGAAGTTAAACCGGAAGTTGTTTTGACCGGAGTTTACCTTTTCCAAAACAACAACATATTGTAACTGTTTCAAGTAATCTCACCTAATGAAACTAGAGTAGCAGGAACCCCAGGCCTATATCTTGGTATGCTCAGAAACAACCGCTGTTGGTAGAATTTTAATCCCGTAGGGGCGTTATTAGCAGGAATGTATCTTTTTGTGTCTAGAGCCCATTTGTAATGCTCTTCAGACTGCCATGTGTAGTTCAGATGCGTCCACTGATAAACTACTTCAAAGTTACTAAAATATTCCAGTATAACAGTATTAAAAGTACTACATTTTGGTTAATGTGCTAAGTTAAAATAATCGTAATAAAAGTAATGACAATAATTTCCGCTGGATATTGCTCGGCTTTATCCAGACTGTTTTTATGTGATATCTGACGCACACATTTAATAATTAATCTGCAAATAAATGTTTCCGGCAATCTGCAAACTGACCAACTTGCAGACACTTTGCAGAATCGCTTCTACTTTAGGAATCTGAAAAATGCCGTGCGCGATACTCAATCTGAGGGTCACATATGTTTAATCTTCAGATTGACTAGACAATGTGCATAATGCTGCAAAACCTTGCAGTTTAGTTTTGCAACGGAACTTTGCTACTTAGTTTTGCATGGAAAGTTTAGTAGTAAGTAGCAAACAACTTTGTAAAATTTACATTTATAGTTTGTCCTATAGCGTCATGTAAAATATGTTGCTTTTTTGCAGTTTAATCAATAGGAAATATCTTCTCTAATCAAAAACCTAATTATGAAACAACATACAAGATTTTAGAGAAACGATGAGCTGGAAATATTTAAGTGGCATTAATGAGAACAAACAACATAATGATTTATGCTTTCATACTTTAATGTCGTTGATGAATTATAATATTAGTGTTAAATAATTTTATTATATTAAATTGTTTTGCATTTGGTAGAAAATGATTGCATTTTCCCATTAAATAGATAATTAATTTAATCTCCCCAAAGATATGTATTTCTTTCCGCTCGCCATTATTAATCACTGAACAACAAAGTTTAGCAGAAACGCCGCTAGGCCGAAAGTAAACAGCAATTTTGTAGGAGCAGGTGTTACAATTCACATTGTCTAGTCAATATAATCATTAAACATATGTGACACTCACATTGACTAACGCATACGGAATGTCAAGGCATTTTGCACATTGCCAGATTTCGTACATTGCGGGTAATATATACATTAGACGTGATGTTTTTAATTGCACATGCAAAATATCTTGTAATATCTGTTAACAACTGAGTGATATTTTTTATTATTTATTATTAAGTCGCGATAGATTGGGTTACAAAAGTATTAGCGCTTAATTAATTAAATTAAATTATATTTCCACACTGAAGAGGAATAAAGCGTAACTGGGAAAATTCCCATTAGAACTATTGAACACATGTTTAATTTGTCGATTATGGAAATATTGGATACCTGAGCGTATGCTCGTATGTGTCTTTTTTGAGACAATCAGATTTGAAATAAATCATAAGCAAACCCACAGTCTTAAACATTACCCGCTCCACACAATGTCACTCCCTATCCCATATTTATTTAAATCTCCAGTCTGTCGTATATGTATATAAATTTAAGTACAATATTTAAACTGGTTACCTTTGTAGGTCAACTTTTCGTACATCGTTAATCCTCATCTCTTTCTGTTGCACCTCGAGATGATAACCGTTAAGCAAATAATTACACAAATTCGAATACACCCAAATTAACGTGTTTACAAACATAATTTTTGTGGATATCGCGAATTACAAGCTGTGACTTTCAATGGTAATCTTGTTCTAAGGATATGCAAATAAGTAGTCGATTAGTAAAATAATGTGAAAGTGTGAAGTGCAGTTAATCGCAGTACTTATATACTTATATAGACGACCATACACGATATTTCATATACAATTTAGAAAAAATCACAATAGTTGCATGAACCGGCAGTTTCTCACAAACATGCTTAGATTATCGGTTCCTTATGGAGCTTTCCTCAGAATCCAACTGCATTAGAATATTTAAAACAGCTTTTGAGAACCAGTTATACAATTTTGAATTAAAAATGGAAATTTGTCGTTGATTGCAGCTTGGCCTATTACCAGTATGTGGGGTCATAAAGTTTTGAACAGCACAATTGAAATACTAACCACTGGTACTAACATTAACATGGTTGGATGCACGGTTAAAACTATCGTATTTGGTTAATTAACTCCTGCTCAATTTGTACCGGCGTTAAGTAAGCGATTAGTTTAATGTGTACTTGTGCTCTGTTTATCTTATATACGTGGTAGGAATGTAGCCCTTTCTAGGTTTTAATTTGGTGCCTGGGAAAGTGTCAGTTTTTGTGCAACGATCTGAGTGCCCCTGTAAGGCTCTGCTGCAAGTATCTCCAATACTTGTGCCTCTGTGTCTGAAAACAAAATATAACAGTGTGCTTTTGTAGGAGTAAATAAATAATTTATTTCTTCTTATTTGAGATGGAAACATTCGTAATTCAATACCTTTAACATTGTGCGAAATATTATAAAAAATTGAAACAAAAAATGAGCTCTGGCATTGTGTGTCGAAAAATCTAAATTTGGCAGAAATGTAGATTAGAAAAACAGGTAGTGAAAGAAGTTCGATAATAAACTAATTCATCTTAGATGTCAAACTCAAAAATTTTAAACGCTTTGAGAAGAGAGTTGAAAAAAATGAATTCAAAATATGACGAAAAAAAAATTCAAAAAATGTAAACCTATGCTTTATGCTTATGTTACACGGTTTACAAGGGAACTTGAAATTGCCGCTCTGTGCCCAGAGTACAAACATTTTCAGTTTTCCGACGTTTCTCGAGCACGGGCAGTATCGACAACTTGACTAGATTATGTAAATTAATTATTCAAAAATTGTATAATTATTAGGGATAAGGTTCTCGAACCCTAGGAACGGTCTCCTCGTAATTCAAGTGGGTGGAGTTCTCTTGAGAAGCTAAAGGGCGTATTTTCTATCCCGAGAGAATGAACGTATCCCACGATAGCAAGAGAACGAGAGTCTGCTATTCATGAAGGGAACAAACGATAGTTTTGAAACGATGCGAAAATTTTGCGTGTAAATTGTGGGTTTTCCCGTTGGAACTGGCAAAGGTTTCGTTTGCTGACGTGATTTACACCATCCACTGGCAACGGTCAAAATGGTGTATAAAAGTACATGATTTTACAGTGATGCTAAGGTAGGGACACGCAAGATACTTTGGTTCAAATGTACTCAAACAACATGAGATTATTTACGGTATTTTAGCAGTTTTTGGTAGCTTTGATGGAAATTAATTAATTTTTTATTCCTATTTCTTCCGGATTAATTAATTTGAAAACTATTAAAATACAACTAGATAAAAACAAATGGAAAATTTTCAAGTAAAGTGCTGGGGTTGGGGATAAAATAATGTAGACAAATTATTATGGTTGTTTAATTTAAAATTTTAAGCAGAAATAGACTATTGCTTTGTATGTGTTCGTAAAATATTAATTTCTACTGAGCTACTAAATCCATGAATGTATCGATGTTCATCTCTTCAAATAACAGCCTGGGAAATTCGAAATCAGAGCTAGATCAAGAAATTCCATTATGATATTGCAAAAAATCAATAAATTTCTTTATATTTTCATAGTAGGCACTTATATAAATAAGCGGAATTGTCTATAGGTGGCAGCAAAAAAGTAGACATTCTGAAGGAATAAACATCCAAAATTCCGCCGCTTTCACGTATCGATGATCAATGTGATTTGTTAATCGATCAACGTTATCGCAATATAATGAATTCTAATTTTGAAGGTATAACAGGAAAACACTCTCTTGATCGAAATTAGAATACAGCTTAGCTTCATATTGCTTATAGTGAACAATTTAGCTCTGATGATCCCTACGGGCAAAATCGCCTAAGCTTTGAACTTAACTATGGTTGGACCTGATGGAAACGTTTGGTTTTTGAACCAATATCCAGTACATCCCCGAGAGATTTAATCTCCTCTCAGTCATTATCCATATTTTCTTCGATAGACTGCGATTTTCTCATTAAGCAATACGTTTATGTTGTTTGAGTTAATATGATTAATGTGTTATCTACAAACTTGAATTGAGTACGTAAATGAAGTAAAACATCGACATAAAACAATAGTGAAATGGCATTTAGCCAATCAGAGAATTGCATGTTCGGACATAGTCCGAAGTTTAAGGACTTGGCTAATATCAACACTAATCGGTTAATCACGACTTTAACATAAACCTAATGTTAGTCTTGTAAGAAATTTAGATATGTTAATAGTATTCAGCTATTTTTCTTTGTTAGTGTTGAATCTATTATTCCGCAGCCAATTTTATACTGTTGTATATACTAAAGTTCCTAATTTAACGTTTTCTGTTTTGTTTCAGGTATGCAACTGTTTTTCTTTCATCGCCCGTGACTCTATGGTAAGAGATTACAAATAAGACAGTTTAAATTACAGGGTCAACTACTAATGTTTTAAAAACCTATATGTTCAATACATGTAGTCATCAAGTAAGATTTTACTATGTATTACCAAAATAACACTGTTTTTTTCAAAGGACGTTGACGAATATTCCGTGGGGTAAAATAAACATTAGTCAAGCAAAAAGAACAATAATTAGGAGAATTAGTAGCGAAACTCAGATTAAGCGGTTCACTAAAAGAAAACGTCCTGTTTCGTAAAAGCGACACCTTTTTAATGCATAGCAATTTGACCGAATAAATTAGATGGCAGTGGAAAGGGAACTATTAAGGAGATCGCCTTTGAAATATCGTACCCCCAAAAGAACGATGTTGCTAATTTGAAAGTATAATTTTGGATAATGGCCATTGTACATTCTGTAAATGTCTCTATCTACATCTTACGTAAGTTAAAATCTGAATATATTATATGCGTTATAATTCTTCCAAACTAACTTTCTAAGAGACACTTGTTAATGCAGAAGTAGTTGACAGATCACTTTTATTAAACATATGCTAAAGATTTTCTAGGATTTTAAAACTTTTTCTCTTTTTACCCCTCGCCCCTCCTTTTTGACTTATTATATTTTTTCAAATTGTCTCTGCTTTTTGATTATTTTAGGAAAGCCGCGTTGCTTGCCAAAGCGAAAAATTCAAGATTTTACTATATAAATTATAAGTGAATCTTCTGATTTCTTATGTCACACTATCGTATATTCACTTTCCTTCTTGGCTTTAATTAACTTTTTCTCTCAGTAATAGTACTTTCAGCAAGTAACGGTGTGGTTACTAGTTACTACCTTTTTCGCAGCGAAACTGCGATTTTATCAGTAAGAATTTATTTCAGTTAACTGTAGAGACGATATTTTATAATGTTATACAAGGTGCCATGCCATGCCCGATATGGGAAACAAAAACTTTATTATTCGTTTTAACAACTGCAACTATGCCGTCGGGATATCATTATTCAAATGAAGATTATTTCAAATTGTTTACTGTTTATGCCGAATATAATAAAGTTTTGACAAGAGCATGTGATACATTTGCATTTTGTTATTCGCAAAACCAGAAGCAAAATATCCGGGACCCGCGAAGCGATTAATTTGCAACTTTAAAAATAATAGACGTGCTAAAGAGAAATGCCAACCAAAACTAAACTTACTGTTAACCAGTGAGAATGCAGCAATTTTGCTTTATTTTGCGTCGAAATACAAATTATCGCCAAAAAAATTTTGATATTTTGATGAAGAACGCTTTTTGAAAAACTGAATTTTAAGTAAAGGCAAATGCCATTTACTTATAAATTTTTACGAATTATTCCTGAATATTTTAGGAATACGTGTGTCATTTCCAGCTATAAAATTAAGAGCTGCTTTCTATGTTTTTCTTTGAACCGTGTTGTATATTTTTCTGAAAGAAAATAACGAATTATTGGGACTGAAATGATTGACCTAAATAAATTTGTTCGATATAGTTACGACAAGGCACTTCACATGAGGATTTCGATATATTTAGGTATAATAAATCCATATTTAGATATGCCAATAACCGTAGAACGTATACACAGGCTGAAACGGTAAAAGGTGCAAAAGAAATTGCTCCACAAACTTCGGAGACTAAAATCTGACCATAACCGAACATACTATAAAAGTAGATTATTTCGAAAATACAGTGTGGATCTATTTGGTAGCTAATTTTTAATGAATTAAAATTAAAACATTTCTTCAAACTAGTGATATATATATACATAATAATCGGCTTAGATTTATATTTTTTTAAATTCATTTTCAATTTTAAAACGGCTATATTTATAAGTTACACCTTTTGTCAAATTGTCTTAGCTTTTATCTGTGAATTTTTTCGTGAAATTATCAACTACGTTCGTGGTAAACACCATGTATGTATATATAAATACTGTTTGTTACGAAATAGATGCCATAAAGCTGTGATTAATATCTGAGTGACCTGAAAACACTTATGTGCTTTTTATATTAAGTTTTTCTTTGTCAGTTATATGAAACTCTACCATTCAATATATGCGGAACATAGTTCTGTAAAATGCAAAAAAATATTCAACGTAAAGTATTTCTGGCCCGGTAAATATAAACTTCATTTGAAAATTACTTTCTAAAATATTGCTGATTGCATAATTGCATAATGTCTGCTAGAGTACAAGAGCAAATTAAACGAGGGCAACTTTTTTCAAGTTAGCAGAGAGCTAATTTTCTTCCAATTAATAATTTGAATTTTTTTCAGGTAACTTTATGTAAAATCGGCAGTTTTTCGGAGGACGCCATCCAATTAATTCCATAAAATGTATTAACCGAAAGA